CACAGAGTCTCGTCTCTGCTCTGTATTCCACTTTATTTATGCTTTTCTTAGCAGTGAGGCATGTGACAGGTAGGCCTGAAGGCTCTGCCCCAGCCTGGGATGACACCTGGAACACCCCCTCATTTCTTTCCCTGAGTGCTGAGGGAGAAGAAGAGGCAGCCAGTTATTTAGGGCTCACCCCACCCAGAGATTAAGCCAAAATTGCATGTGAAGCTGAAGTCATGGCCAGAATTACTACTAGTTAGCTTCCAGATCACTGAGCAAGTCCTATTTTTCTTGAGGTCAGTGACAGCTTTTGGAGTCCACACTTATGTAACATGGACAAAAAGAAAGAAGAGGAAGAAAGGAAGGGAGATAAAAGTCGAGGGAGAAAATAAATATGGCCACAGAGAAAGGACAGGGGAAAAAATGAAAAGTTGAAAAGGAAGTAGGGATAAAAAAGAGAAAGAAGAAAAAAATGGAACAACAGGGAGGTATCAATTAGTCACTTTGCAAGCCAGTGATTTTCCTGTTGCTTTAGACTTTTAAACTAAGGAAGAACAGCCTCTGTAGTCATGTTCTATTGGTGCCATAACAATGTATCACAAATGCCGTGGCTTAAAACAACACAAATTTATTACCTTACAGTTCTGGAGATCGGAAGTCCAAAATGAGTCCAAAATAGGTCTCACTGGGCTAAAGTCAAGCAAGACTACATTCTTTCCAGGGGCTCTAAGGGAGAGTCCAATTTTCCTGCATTCTTCATCTTCTAGAAAATGCCTACACCCCTCATTCATTTTCATTTTCAAATCCCACAATAATCAGGAAAGTCTTTCTCACATCCCATCACTCTGACACTGACTCTTCCACACTTAAAGGCCTGGTGATTATGTTGGGCCCACCAGGGCAATCCAGGATAAGCTGCTTATTCTAAAGTCAGATGATCAGCAATCTTAATTCCCTCTTGCCATGGAATGTAACATAGCCACAGGTTCTTGGGATTAGGACATGGGCCTCTTTGATTAGGACATGAGCCATTATCCTGCCCACCACAGCCTCTTATTTAAAAGAAAAAGAAAAAAAAAGTTACAAATGAACTTATTTACTAAATAGAAACAGACACACAGAGAATAAATTTATGGTTACCAGGAGTGAAGAGTGGCTGGGAGGGATAGATTGGGAGTTTGGGATTGACATGTGCACACTGCTATATTTAAAATAGATACTTATGGACACATGGGGGGCAGTGAATTGAGAGAGTAGCACTGACATATATACACTACCATGTGGAAAATAGATAGCTGGCAGGAAGCTGCTATATAACACAGAGAGCTCAGCTCAGAGCTCTGTGATGACCTAGAAGGGTGGAATGGGAGCAGGGGCAGGAGGGACACTCAAGAGGGAGGGGATGTATGTATACATACGGCTGCTTCATGCTGTTGTATAGCAGAAACCAACACAACTTTGTAAAGCAGTTATATTCCAATAAAAAAGTAGTAAGACTAGCAAAAGCTAGGTTCTCAGAAGTAGCGCAGAACTAGCTTCATTTTTTCCAGCTCAGTGTCACTCCCAAATATACAACAAAAAGTCACTGCTGCAAAAATAAATAAATAAATGTTCTGTTGCTGTTCTTTTCTCCAACAGATGTTTGAAATAGAATTATGTACCTTTTTCCCCCAAACTTTCTCATCCTCTTTATCAAAATAATGACTGTACTCGAAAATTGAGAGGGAAAAGAAATGAGCTTGACAGTCTCACCTTCTAAGGCTCATTGGATACTATTGTCAAAATGAATAACTACTTTTCTCAGCACATTGTGTCTGAAGAAACTCAAGAATTTAGGGACTCATGGCAGTGGATATTCTCCCACGAATAGAAGCAAATGCCAGAAGACTCTCTTAATCCTGGAGGATGTGTTTGAAAACTAATAGCCCAGGGTCAGGGAATGGAGGTTGGGAATGTGCCTTTTTCCCCACTTTCGCCACATGAGCCGTCATAGCAGGGGCAGCTGGTCTGGCCAATCTGTTCAGTTCTGGTGATGTCCTTCCTCGGTGCCTGCTGGTCCAGGACCTGGAGAACGTTTCCTGTGCATGAAGGCAGCCTTGAGCCAGCTGGGAGAGTAACAAGCAACACTCACATCCATAAAAGTGGACAACACACCAACATCATGGGACCAAAGAGCTGGTGGTGAGACTTCAGACTCAGGTGAAATAGATACTAGTGGGTGTGAATTTCCCGGAAAAAGGCAGAAAACAGGGGTGTTGAAGTCTTATGCAAAAGCCCCCCTCTGTGGGGAGCTAGGAATTAGTATGAAATCGGCTGTGTGAAAATCCTTTGCTGTGGTTTTTTTTTGTTTGTTTATTTGTTTTAAAATCATGATTGTGCTTCTAACTCCTAGTAGATGGACTGAACATGGAAAGAACACCAAGTAACCAGAGGAGTCCCACAAAACAATGCTTATTTCTCTTCTGGGGAAACATTTAGCATATGAGACCACAAGCTGGAAAATAAGCTCTGTTAACCAGAAAACCATGGCAGCAGAAAGTTTAAGCAAAAAAACCAAGGAAAGGAAACTTAGTTGCTCGTGGATACTCTCTCAATTCCATAATGATTAAACCTGGAAGTTGCTAAGAAATTTGAAGAACAACTTCAGACATCAACCTGTCAAAAGGCAGGCCTTGACCCAAAGTGAACTGGGAGCATATGGTAATGTAACAATATGTACAGCTTTGGAAATGTATAATACATCCTGGTTGTTAAAACAACACATTGTCTATAGGCATAACTTGATCTGGGACATGTTACAAATTTCAGCAAACACAATGTTTCTTCCAGGACTAATTCTCTACCTAAATTTGAGATATATCCTAAATTATTTCTCTCACTAAATCAGTAGAGTAAATGATATCTGTTGAGGGATGAACAGGTTCAAAGTTCTTCTGGATCATTTTGAGTTGTGTAGGCAGAAATCTGAACAGCTACATACACATTTACACTGGAGATAGTCTCCAATGGTGACTCTGCTATGGACCAAGACTACAGTTTTGATTGACTTCAAGGTTTCTGAGGCATTTTGTGATCCTCTCTGAATGATCAATGTCCTGCTACATATGATGACCCAGATCTTTAGGATTACTGCTTAGGAACAAAGTAATTTGCATTTCAAGACATCAACTTGGATCACTGGGGGAATAATGGTGGAGAAACATCTTTCAGGATACGTGGTTTTGCCAAATCTCTGTCATCCAGCCTTTTACCATTTTCATTACTAATTGTATATACATGGAGGAATTTCATTTAAATGTCTGGCCTGAAGTGAACGTCTCCAAATATCTATCTACGAATTAGCCATTGGGGGAAAAGTACTGCAGAAGGTATCAAATTACCCTTGCATGATGGAATTCTAACTAGTAGGATAACAGCAGGACTCCTTCAGAACAAGATGTCTACAAAGAGGAAAGCAGAGAAGACAATAACTGTTTCTAGAATTAGTAGGCATTATTCTATAAAATCCCATAAGGGTTTGTGAGCAGACAAATGTCCTAGTTATTTGGAATCCTTAAATTCTAGAAACACACTGAGGCTTACAGCATGGATAAATGGCTCGAATCCTTCCAATGAAAAAGAACACAATAAGGAAACTAGCTCTAAATCACAATTTGAAAAATGAACATCTGTAATTTAACTTTCAATGACCACTTGGCATGTAATGACATAGCTGTATATATGTGCCTAACAGAGTGAATTGTCATCATATCAGGATATAGATCACGGGTCATCTAATTTCTTGGTCTGTCCCCGGGCTTGTAACTGGCAATCTGTGTGACAATTCATCTTGGAACACAGATGCAAATCAGTTACCACCTTCTGGACAGAAGATGTTTCTATATTTCTAATTCACCGACAAATACTTAAATGCAAATAGTTAATACTAAGGCATGCTATATTCTTCTACTCAGTGGATACTCAGAATATAAAGAAATATCTTCCTTTCATTCTCCTATTTGTCATTATTTTGACATTATTTGGGGCTTCCCAGGTGGTACAGTTGGTAAAGAATCTGCTTGCCAATGCAGGATACATAAGAGATTCTAGTTCAATCCCCATGTCAGGAAGATCCCCTGGAGAAGGAAATGGCAATCCACTCCAGTTTTCTTACCTGGAAAATCCCATGGACAGAGGGGCCTGGCGGGCTACAGTCCATGGGTTTGCAAAGAGTAGGATATAACTGAGCACACACACACAGACATTATTTAATACCTAGATACTCATCTGACATTCATTTAAAAATGTGTTGCATTTGCACTTGGCTCAAAATAAGGTACCAATTAAAGAACCACTCCTCACGCTGTCATGCAGATACCTACACATCCCAAAATTCATTGGTGGGGGTTGATTTTATGCATGTCTCAGGAAATAGTCAAAGAAACACAACATAAAGCAAATATTTACCCCCACAGGGGAGAATGAAGTTCAGTTTTATAAGGGACATTAACAAATTCCACGGTTTAAATTACAGATTAACAAAGGGTTCATGAGCTCAAATTAAGTTATTCTGTTTAAAATCAATCACCGAGACTGTCATTCTGCTTATTGCTTTGACTTCCTAACAAAGGTTTAAATGAGGACTTTATGTGCAAGTAAAGAACATCAAGAGATCTGCTCTTTTTCAGACCTGCGTGGGCTGGAGGGGCAAACGTTTAGGCTATTAACGTAATTAGAATGAGGAATGCATTTTTCCAGAAAAAAAAATCTTCACCAAAAAAACAAAAAAAGAAAAATCTGCAATTAATCTATTATCTGGGGGAAAACAGTGAGGAATGAAAGGTGGGATACATTTAGAAAGCACTAGATTCACTGATACCAGAGCCATTCTGGAGACGCCAGGCAGGAAATCTGGAATTCCTCTAACTCTTCAGTGGCAGGCACCAGATTTGGGGAGAAGGGTCCAGAAAGGCTGTTTTGTCTTCACTGGCAAAATGCATTCAGATGTGATTTTGCAGAAAAGCATTTTTCCATTGTCACTCAACCTCATGTTGGGTCACCACTCCAGTGTTGAGCAGCTCCCTGATGGCCCTGTCATCATATCGGAGGACCTCCTTCAGGATGTGCGTCGTGTGCTGCCCGAGAAGGGGAGGCGGCCTGGCCTCTGACATCTTGAACTTACTGTATCTCACAGCTGGGCCTGTCAGAGCGGGAGGAAAGCAGGAAGCCTGTTAATGACTAACCCTCGGAAATTCATTACCCAAGCAGCCTGGGGTGTTTGCAATGAATGCCAAGAATATCACTGCCCGTTACACCCTTGCAGATGGACCATCGTTTTGGAAAGAAATGTATTTGCACATGTGGCTTTCCTTGACTTTGCTTCAGACGACTGTGCAGTGGTCGTCCACCATGCTGGGGGCTGCATGGATGTGCCTGGTGTGTGCCAGGCCCGTCACGAAGACTCGCAGGGGTAAGTCACTCAGCTGAGCTGACCCTCTGGGTCCCAGAGAACAGTGGCACAGGTACATAGTGTCTGTCTGGAAATCTGACCCCAGGTGAAGGTAACCCACGTGTTTACCACTCAGCATCTAGTGTAAAGTTCCAAGATTTAGTTCAACAGACTGCAGATCAACTAAACCTCAGCCAGATTCTGGGTGGAAGAAGAGGTTATTGGTACAAGCTTCACTGTCAGAGAGACTTCTGTTTGGGTATCAGCTCTTTCACTTTCAAGAAGAGCTATCTTGGACAAATTGTATAACTCCTGTGAGCCTTGTGTTCCACAACTAAACTGGGTATGATGTTTACCATACAATCTTGATGAAAGGGTTTACATGGTGTAATGAACAGAAAGCACGAAGTAAGCATCCCTTAATCCACATAATGCACAAAACCTGCCAGCCACTATGATGACAAAAGCCACCCCATCACCTTCTTTGACACTTGCAGTGCGATGGGAAATGGATATGTACTGCCAGCTCTTTGCTGAGCACTGAGCCACCACAAACAAGATAACTAAAGCAAGGATTTCAACAACTGCTGGGAATGGATTTTATCATCCTCATTCATCCCCCACCCCCAACTTTTTGGCTCCACCATGCAGGATGTGGGATCTTAGTTCCCTGACCAGGGATCAAACCCATGCCCTCTGCAGTGGGAGCTTGGAGACTTAGCCACTGGACTACCAGGAAAGTCCCTCATCCTAACTCTTCACATAATGACACTAAAGTCCCAAATGCTAAAGTTTTGTTCAAGGTCATGGACTTCACCAGTGGCTCAGCTGGTAAAGAACCAGCTTGCCAATGCAGGAAATACAAGAGATGGGGTTTGATCCCTGGGTCAAGAGGATCCCCTGGAAAGGGAAATGGCAACCCACTCCAATATTCTTGCCTGGAAAATTCCATGGACAGAGGAGCCTGGTGGACTACAGTCCATGACATCCCAAAGAAGTAGACACGACTGACCACAGCACGCACACACGGCTAATAACTAATAGCAACAGGATGCAAGTCCTCATCCACCTGAACCGCCTCACACTGAAGGCCACGCACTTTCCAGAACCTCAGCAGCCTCCTCTTCTCACTCTCCCATGCGCAGGCCTGACGGACACCGAGGAGCATGCTGCTTCAACAGATTTCACCTTTGCTGCCTCATTCAATAAATGATATTTATGTTGGCTGTCCTTTACATCTCACTTGATGAGCCTTCGGGAAAACAAATTAGAGTCACAGGAAGACTACAGAACAGTACGTTTCCATCTCATAAAGATTTTTCCAGTCTCCTCTGGATTTGGGGAGCCCATAGGAAGAACAGATAAAACCCAAGCACATGTGGGTAACACAATGTCAGTCAATAAAGCTGAAACGTGCCTGAGGATCTAGGAGAATTCCATTCAGAAAAGATAATGGTGAGGACACAGACCTCCTAAAACCGTCAGATGGCACATTTGGGTCACACATACCATCCACACCAGATAAATGGCAATTTCCAACTGATGTCCAAAGTTTTCCTTCTCTGAAGCTCAGGGAAATTCTTTTTTCTTTTTTCCTTCTCACACTTCCTTTCAAATGCTCCAGTACATGACCATATTCTTTCATGGATTGATCCCTTTTCAAGAAAGAACTATACACACTGGGAGGTAGTGTCCCTATGCTCCCGAGAAAGCTGATAATCCAGTGTTTTAGGGATGTGTGCCATTTTGACATTAACCATAGTTTTCATCTAAAATTTGTCTTTCAGAAGAAGGACTCTGCCAAAAAATACAGGCTGAAGTCAAAGTCACGTGCCTTTTTTCCTAACTAGATGACCTAAAGTAAACCAATCAACTGGGAAATAGTCATTTGACTCTTGAAGAATCTGGGATAAAACAGGGTTACCATTTATCACTACTGATCCCAGTGCCAGGAGCATTAGCAGTGGTAACTACCGTTTCCTAAGAACCTAGGCTGTGCTGGCCACTATACCAAAGGCCACACATCAGCTCCTATATAGCCTCACGGCAATCCTGTATGGATACTGATGGAGATTTAAGGTAAAAGGGTTAAAGTTAGGATCCAAGTTAGGCTATGAGAATAACTTGCCAAACATCACACAGCTAGGAAGTACCAGTTTCCAAGTCCAGGTATGTTAGGTTCAGGAACTTGGACTTTTGTTTAAAAAAAAAAAGAATTAATTGAGGTGAAATTCACATAAGATCCACTATTTTCAAGTGAACTGTCCTGTGACATTTAGTACATTTGCAATGCTGTGCAACTACCACCTCTATCTAGTTCCAAAATATTTCCATTGCTCCCACTAAAACCCTCATCCTTTAAGGAGTTTCTCTCAGTCTCCCCTTTCCCCATGCCCTGGCAACCTCTAACTTCTTTCCATCTCTATGGATTTTTCTGGATATTCCATATCAATAAAACCATACAATATGTGGCCTTTACTGTCTGGCATCCTTCACTTATTATGTTTTTGAGACTCATCTACTTTGGAGTATTGTGCTATTGGCACATAGAACTTGGATTTCTAACTCCCAGCTAGGATGCTATGAGGGAATTTTTCAGGTCCAGCCATAGGAAAGGGCAGGTCAAGTTGTGTCAGTCCTATCCTTTCCTGGGCGCTTCCAGATCCACACTGAATACTATGCTACCAGTTTAGGATGAAGGGCATGTAACACCTTGCACAAAAATATCTTAAAGAATTTAGGTTGGTGGAATGGTATTACTTGGTAATTTTTAGACTTGCTAGGATAAAGACACCTGGAGGATATGATATATTTGGAAAGCTTAGGCTTCTTTAAACAAATATATGTTACTAAGTAAGCCATATCGCAGTTGACGAAATTGTATATACTTTTCCATATGCCCCTTCAGAAACCAGGTATTTTGCATATGATTGATTTAAGAAAGATTCTGAAGCTGAGATTGTCCATGTAATAATATCAAAGTATGGCATAGTTATCTGAACTGTACTGGCAGTTTTCAAATTGCAATTTCTTAAAAGTTCCTTAAACACAGCAGTGCCCCCTTATCTGTGGGGGATACTTTCCAAGACCCCACTTGGATCCTTAAAACCACAGATGATGCTGAACCCTATTTTCTTATCCATACATCCGTATGACAAAGTTTAATTCATAAATGAAGCACAGTAAGTGAACCACTATAACTACTACTAACATAGAACATGACATGACAACAATATACTGTAATAAAAGTGACATGAAAGTGGTCTCTCTTGAAATATCTTACTATGCCTATTTGATGTCTTTTCCAACTTAACTAAGCATCTAAGATGCACGGTGGCCTTAACTTTTGTGGACTGAAGTGTGACAGCAAAACTAGTAAGAATTTCTTTTTCCTTCTTCACAGTTTCACGGATAGAAGATTTGCTCTTACTATAGGTTTCAGCAACTTCAGCATACAGTTAATTCTTCTTTCCTTAATAAGCTGGGAACTTTCACCTTCTCACTCAAAAGAAGTTCTTTACGACTTCTCTCTGGCATACCTAAATGGCCAGCATCACTACTCTTGTGCTTTGGTGCCATTACAAAGTAAAAGAAGAGTCACTTTGACACTGACGGACAATCAGTCTGATAAACTAGATGGCTACTAAGTGGTTAACAAATGAATACGCTGGACAAAGATAATTCAAGAGACAGAAGGGGATGACAGGAGATTTTATCACTCTTCTCAGAACAGCACACAATTGAAAATGTATGAATTATTTATTTCTAGAATTTTCTAATATTTTCAGACTATGGTTGACCACACATAACTGAACCTTGGAAAGTGAACCCATGGATAAGGGGGACAGAGGTGCTACTGTTTTGCTTGGCCATGTAGGTTATGAAAAAACAAAAATTTACAGCCCCTTAAAATATTCATCTCTATGAGAAACAGGACAAATAAAGTGATATATCCAGATCCCAGAGAAAGCAAAATTTCCCTGAGTCAATTGAAATCTGTTCTTGAAACCCTGTGCAATGATCCTATATACCTGGGACATTCCTCAGTCTAGGCTTTGCACAAAATATATTCCTCAAATGTATTTGTTTCAAGAAGTAGAACATGTTTGACATAATTATTTATATCCAAGGTCCAAAAAGAATGAATAATCTGATTTTCCGTTTAAAAAAAAGATGAGCAGATAAGTCACATGTTCTTAAATTACTTTTTGGCAAAGCAACATCTACATTCGCATATGCTTTCAAACACTTGAAAGCTGTGTGATCCTGAGAATTCTTAAAAGTCCTTGAGTCTCAGTCCATAGATTTCTAAAATGAGGTTGGCAATACCTATGTAGGATTGGTTTGAGCATTTGGGGAATATAATGTGGGTAATACTCAACATCAGTAATAATCAGAGAGTATGGAGATGATGCGATACAACTTTGTTTACAAAACTAGTGAATCTTACAGATATCACAGTATGTGTTTAAGCAGTCTGTGACCAGAGGGAGTGGAAAATGGTACAATCCTCCTGGAAGGAAAATTTTCAACTTGATATCAAGAGTTTTAAGTGTTCACATACTTGAATGGAGAAATTCTGCTTTAATAAAACAAAAATTTTCCCTATGAATGTAATCAACAATATCAACATATGTGGTAGGCAAGGATCTATAGAAATTTCTAATTCTAATACTCAATAAACGCTTTGGTGTGGGATTCTGTATTTAAAAAAAAAGAAAGAAACTTTTTAATCTGTTCTTAGCTTCCAC